ATTGGACTAAACCGAAATATCTCAGGGTAGATTAGCAGTAATCTAATATTTAAAATCACAAAGCAGAAGAATTCAGATCGGTAATTTCTTAATCTTTTAACATAAGAAAGCCGGTTATAGAATGGGTGGAGAGAACTGCTATAAGGACAGCAAACAGCGTCACTGATTAGGGAAGCAATTGAAATACAGAAACATGCCCATGGGGCTATAACACTGGGATGATGGGGACTTTTTCTCTCTTTGATATTGGCCAAAAGGAGCAAACTGCAGATGGCACTGTCATTCTGCCACCACAGAAAGACACCACAGAATAGCTGTCAGCAAAGTTGAAAAATATTTCAGTGCAAAAACTACAATCCAAGTGTTTTAGATACATTCCCAGGCTTTACCTTTAGTCTTTTATTCACCACGAACTAAAATACCTAACAAGAATCCCAAGTACTTTATTCAAAGCAGCAAAGCTTTTACTTCAATATACACAAAGAAAATAATAATTCAAACCAGTAAAACAGCTACCAATTTCAGTAATGTCGCAAATAAACATAATTACACAAAAATGTCAAACGCCTACCAACAAGGTCATAATAATCACACAGCCACATACATAGAACCACAGTTCACCTCAGTGGGAAGAAACCTGGGGGCAATCAGTGTGAGAAAGGAGAGGAGGAAAGGGGGAGGATCTGTAGAGAAAGAGAAGCGCGGCACAGACAATGGAGGGTAAGAGCAGGGGGAGGCGGAGGGACGGGGTAGTTATAGTCACGAACATGGACAAGCAGAGCATACAGCGTGATGCCTGCAGGAACTGGCCTGACTGGAGAGAATGAAAAGTAGTTTACATGAATACTTAGATCTAAAAATGAATTGCTCCTCACACATGTGTTGCTGTGATGCAGTCGCTGCAGCTAAAGAAAAGTCACTATTCTGTAAAATGCTAATATAGGAGGAACTGAGCTGATGCTTGCTCTGGAGGCACACAAGGCTGTTTCATGACATTATACGCTATACTTTACACAACTACATTCATTTAAAATTGTCTCTTTTTAATGCAAGAGCAGTTATACGTCTATAGCAGCCAAAGACACGTAAGTAGAACTGAAATATTACATGCAACATTTTGGTTGTTTCGCTTTTACTTTCCGGTTTATTCAAGTTCATCACAAATAATGCTGTCATTAATTAATAACTGTTTCAAACAAAAACAATATCTAAAGGATGATGTATATTCTTAATGTGACTGTATGTAGTAAGCGCTATGTGGGCTGACAAGTGACAACCATGGATCTATAATAATAACTGGATAGGGTATTACTAGCTTATAGCTGTCGTGGTACTGCAGACTAAATTCATGTGGGCTACCCATAAAAAAGTCCCATAGATCTCAATGTAAACTAAAACAGCTCGACCACAGCTGACGGAGAACCTACAGCTTTCATAAAGATCAGATTTTGTGGGGATTTTAAGGGTCCCTTGTCATCCTGAACTTTTTTTCTTCTTAAATCCTTCAGTTTTCTTTAAATCCACACTTTACTGCCACAAACTCTGCTCCTTGCCTTCCCGCTCTGACTCCGCTCTACCACTGCTCTGATCAGCAGCGCTGATTGGTCAAAGCATGGCCGAACCCCTCTGTGCGCGTGCATGAGAGCCACACACGCGTATTTGCCGCAACACATCATGGGAGATAATCCACTGCGCAGAACCGGGAGGACCAGACGATGCCCAAATATAGCCGAGTTCCTTTTATATGTCAGCGCCCGTGAAGTCCCATGCGCTACTGAGCACAAGCCATTAATTTGAATGGGGCACCATCTTGGATAACTGGGGCTTGGTGACAACCAGTGAGGGCCAAAGTGGCCAAAATGGCGTCCGCTGACATGCTTGCAATACCACCCCGGGCAGATGGGGGTGGACCCGGAATAAGATTTAGCCAATGCTAACATATTGAAAACGTCTTTACAGGATGGTCCAAAAGTTGGCTCTTGGCCCAAAGCTCCATTCCACATGTGTGTCAATGCTGAGGGGGGTGAATTTCTTTGGAACACTCTAGTTTAGTCGCTATGAATTTTTGAAGGCACTCGTTAAATGAATGGAGCTGCGCCGGCTGACGCATGCGCAGATGCGTTTTTTCACAATTTTCTTGTGGGCGGGACCACTCGCGGCCATTTTGGATTGCTCCAGTAGAGGACAATTTTTGGCCTATTTGTTTGAACGGCGGATATGGGCGTGACTACGTCCGTTATTATTTACAGTCTATGGTGACAACACGTATTCATTTTGGAATCAAACTTTTGTTGAATCTTTCCTGCGTGTGACACATGTAGCTCGTAAAGCAATGATTACAGATGTAATCCATTTGTTGGGGTTTAGATATAAACTGTATAATCTATGTGTATTACATATGAATAGTTACTTTTGTAACAATTTTAAGTATGATTTTAATTTGTTTGTAAATGTTATTAAAAAAACAAATTTCCCCTGAGAAACCGGCATCTTAAGATGAATATATGACATAAGTATTAATGAAATGGCAAACATTTGCAACATTCCTCCATCATGTTTGCATCTCCATGTTGATGAATGGTCCTGACTGAGGCAGATGTAGTGTCTAAAGGCTGCATGTCTGATTGAATGTCCTGGTGCCATGAGTCAGCTGCAGTGGTCTTTGTGATGGATCACACACCTGCAGCTGTGCGGACGATAGCTCAGCACAGAGCGACTGGGGAACACTGGCAGCGCCTTTAATCCTGACACCAAGACCAACAGAGCGGAACACCTCATCTGGGTAACGTACTGCCACCTACCACTGTCTCTACAGAATACGGCCTAAAATATACCATACACTTCCAGAGTGCTAATGGGACTATTGGTTTGAAACAGGAAATCTAAAAAGACATGCTCAGTATTAATACATTTTAAGTATGATTTTAAAAGGAATAAAAACTGCCCTAGGGAAGTGTTGATCTACAGTGGAAACTGAAAGTTTATATTTCCATATACTGATCCTACTTCATATCTAGACATCATTCTTCTTTTTTTCAAATGTGTGATATAATAATTTGAGCTATCTCATTGTTTAAAAACACAGTAGCCTTTGTTTATATGACTTGAACTCTATCTGCAAATACAGCCTCAGTCCTAGACCTGTCCATCCAACAATCGCTACTTCACTGTGGATCTCCCTGAGGTCCCTCTTGTTATCTCCCAAAGCGTGTTGTCCTTGCAGGTGAAACAGGTGAAAAAAGGGTCATTTTCCATTTTTCTTTAAAGGAGCAATATGTAAAAATCTGGCCAAAAGTGGTACTGCAGTCACAGTCAATATTTTGTAGTCCTCTCCCACTCTCCCTGACTCAGGTTGCCAGATTCACACCAAATCCAGCAGCAAACACAGGGAATTATTTTATCAGTTGTTTGTCCGTCTCCATTCACATTGCCATGACAGCCGTGCTAATGCTGAATGAATGTTTTGATTCATGTTTTTTTATTATTATAATTTGGACATTTGAGATAAAAAACAAAAACAAAATAAAAGAAATGTAATTATACATAGTTTATGCAAAATAAATAAGAAATTGATGTCCAAAATAGGAGTGGGAAGAATGGATGTTGGAACGTATTTCTTCAGCGTATCAACATCAGGGTTTGCTCAAGAGGATATCGCCTTTCAATTTTATTTATTCCCTATTTTTTAGACAAACATGTAAAAGTCCCACATCAAAAAGAGACTAACATTATTTTAATTGGGGTACATGTGGTCTTAAATGATTATTTTTACAATGAAGCTATAATCTGCAAAAAAAACGTCTTGACCTTCATCTTTTACCGTTTTTAGAGCAATCTGTCATAGAATGTGATAATATGCAATAAATACAAAAAGACACAGCCCGGGATCGTACCCGGGTTCCTGCATCGTAAGCGCATAGTTTAGACCACTAGGCCACCGGTTCAAACGATCAGAGACACCGTGAAGAACGGACTCAAACTAGAAAATTCTGCATCACACGTAAACTTTTATCAGCTGTCTCAATTGTTCAAAGGCATCCCGATATAAATCCTCGTTTTAGTCTTTGTTTTGTCATTAATGATTTGAGAATCATAACAAGACCTTTTTTAGTTCTACGCCACATGTTATTTTACCACTGAGATTAATGAGCCGCGCGGAGTTCTGGCAACCCGATCACGGACTTACATGACACTTCCTGATTGGCGAAACGGTGGAGGGTAGGACATCAAAATCAAAACAATAACAACTTTTACGGGTCGTAAAACTAATTTTGATGATCAAATATCTCGGCTGAACTACTGTTATCAGTTAAAGATGAATTCGAAAAGAGTATGATTTAATAACGCCTTTTGAAATATTCGGGTCATTTAATGATGACTTGACATGCAAATATTACATATTGCTCCTTTAAATTAGTACTTTGAGTTGCCTTGTGTATGGACTATGCTGTACCACACAAACAAACTTGCCTTGCCTTTATCCGTTTGTCTTTATGGACCAACGAGATTTGATTGGATTCAACACTTACTGACTTTGTGCAGACACACCAGGGGGTTCCTTTGACTGGACTGACATCAGCGAAAAAGTTGCTACAAGATGGAAACCCCCTTACTCATAGTGTCTGCACTAGTGGGTTATGACAATTATTGAGATTTCCTATTGGTTGCTCAATGAGTCTGAGGAACAGTGAGCTGTGTTTGAGTTTTGTCTGTAGGATTGGCTTTGTTTTTCTGGACCGGTGTGTGATTGTTTGGCTGTTCTTTGTTGTATTATTGTGGTATTGAGCCATGAAGATTTTCACATTTTTATTATATTTTAAATCCTGAGGGGGAAAAAATTATAAATCGTAACTAGTGAAATAATCTAAAAAAATCAACTATTTTTGAAATGAATGAATTTGGCATTTATCTTAGAAGTAGCTACCATAATCTGGTTATTGGTAGGTCATATTGTCAAACATTAGTCAAAACTACTGTGTAATTATTGAAGTGTTTCTTACCCAACCATCCTGAGCTGGAATCAGGCACACACATGTCCGTCTCAGCACTGGGCAGCACAAAGCCCACCACAAAAACCTCCACCCCGTCAGACATGAGCGCCAGGCCCAGGACGAGGAACAACTGCCATTGGAACCTGCCGTGGCCACACTCCTGGATGATCAACTCGTACTGTTGAGCTAACTCCTCTTCATCACCCTCTCTCTCACGCTCCAACTCCCTTCGGTCTCTGCTGGCGTCAGAGATGGGCTGCGCAAGTGCTACCTGGCCCTCTTTCTTCTTTGGGATTCCCTGGTATTCCCCTTCGTAGATCTCGTCTTCATCGTCATGACCCTCGGTGGCATCACTGGACCCGCCCTCCTCATTGTCGGGAAAGCCCTCTGCATCCTGTTGCCTTGGTGGGTTCCTGTAGAAGTCCTCATCTTCCTCTTCCTCATCCTGGAATCTGCTGTAGTTGCGGTGGGATGAGTATTCGTCTGTTGCCCGGTCCACAGCTTTGTTGACTTTCTTGGCTGCATGCCGCTTCGCCTCTTTGACTATGTCCTTGGCGCCTTTTGCTAAAGAAGTCCTGTTATTATATGTGTCCTCCATGTTGGTGATGCGGCTTCAAAGTTCAGGGACTCAGCTGTGATCAGTGCTGCTTGGGGACAGCTGAGATGAAAAGTGGTAAATGTGCAGTCACCGCAGGAGAAGCACCACAAAGGCAGTAATCATGGGCGAACTGAAGAAAAGGGGGGAGGGTCAGAAACAAAAAAGATGGTTATCAATCAATGGCTGTAATTCATGTCCCCTAAATCCTTTGTAGCGGTACAGTTCAACAGATGACCTGTATTTGACCCCAAATCCACTTAAAAAATTGACGAGTCTCTCTTGATAGTCATCATTTTTGGTACAGTAGTTTCATATCTGTGGAGGACTGTCCGAATCTCCCAAAATTGCAGAATCTGCTGGCTCATGACTCTGAGGAGCAGAGGCTAATAAACAAGGCTCTGCCTGAAATCAATTTACCCCCAATAAAGAGCTGCTTTATTAGAATAGGAAAGACGACCCAACCATAACGCCACTGTCATATTTAATTTGGGCTATGAAAGAAGAGCTGGACCCGTGGTTAGTAGTGATCAACAATGCATCTCTTTTGAGAAATGAAGGTAAAACATTGCCTCAGTTATTCAGGCCAAACAGTCCGCACGATGGGAAAGCCCTTTACTTGGAGGACATGTGAGACCGAACTGAAGCTATGACTACTGTCTTTTGACCTATTCTTATGCTATTTTATATATTTTCTATCTGTTCAGTTAAAAACAAGTGCTAATAACCTTTAGCTTCCCCAAACCTGGCGTGCGTATCACAGGCCTGCACTGCAATTTGACGGATGATTCAGGTGAATCGATTAATCAACTTGGATTGTTGGTTATAGGACTGTCACATCAAAGGTATCATTCAAACATATTTTCTGAAACAATAGGTTTTAGGGATGAATAGTTTATATTTTCTTTGAAATAACAATTTTCACTTGACGTCACAGGCCAATCATTGATGTCAACTGTCTGCGTGTTTCTGCGTGTATACTGTGAGGAGTCACCTTTGTCATTCAGAGAGTCAGTTCTGATGAAGTGGAATGACTTGTGACCCACCTCATCTGACCACAGCTGACAAGACCCCGACAGAGCGCAATCAAACTGCACAATGAGATGTTTAGTCCACTGGCCCTCTTCTATCTGAGTTTGCTCTCACTTCTTCTGTTTTTTTGTGCCTGATGAGTGCTACAGTCTGATTAAAATCACAGAATGGTAAAAAATGTGTCTTGTAATTCTCTCTCTCTCTCTCTCTCTAGTTATATTTGGTGAAATGAGTCACACATCTAATTCAACCCTTCAGGTAAAGAAGGTTCATAATTAATAGATCACCAATACACCAATGAATCCCATAGAGATGATGGTCAAGTATCTATCTATCTATCTTTATAAATATATAATGGGATTCTTGTCTTTTAATCACAACCAAACTGCACTACAGCCAACTTGACATCCTTTGGCCCGAGGGAAGCATTAATCCTTTTTATCTCAAGAAGGTTTGACTTATCAAAGTCTTGCCCTTTTCAAAGACGTGTACTGGATCCTTGGCTGATGGCTCGTCCGTACTATTAGCATCACGAAGAGCCAATCCAATCTCTAAGTGGGCCGAGCCATGTGTAATCCCATCAAAATGGAGACCCTCTAACCTCATGTGGAGGACCGGGCCTCACAGCCGCACAGGACATCTTCTGTTAGATTTCATCAGACCTGGATGTCATTACTGACTATGGAGAGTTATACTGCAGATAAGAAATGCTGCATTGCTTTTTCAAATACTGATTTTCCCCGAATAAACTCTTTAAAAATACAAGTCCAGTGCCAGTGAACATGAGGAATAAAGGAATAAATATGATGAGAATTTCATAGGTGAGGCAGTTACTGAATGCATTCTGTACATAAATACGAAATATATCCTAATGTTCTTTTTTCAATGTATATGCATCAATAAAACACATTTTGTCAGTGTTACAGAACACTGAACTGCAGTGGGGTGGTGGGGTGCAAACTAAGCACTTTCACAAATTTGGAGTGGCTGCTTGTGTGATTCTTGTCAATGGCCAGTGTTTCTCAAAGGTGCAAAGCTGAGTCAGTTTACTGTTCCTGCTCCTCAACGCCGCTCACATTTTGGTTGCATTGCAGAGTGTTTTAACTACCCTAGGGACAGTGCCTGTTTTACGCGTGGGCTGTTCACCTTGAACACGTAGACAACTTTTAAACCAGACTTGTTTTATTTGCTTTACGACTTTATTTTTCTGTTTTCATTGTTTTATTTTGACGGAATTTTCTTCACGTGTTCTGAATGGCACATGATATGATTCAACTTTTTTGTCCCTAATATGGTCAATACAATTTTCTGCATTGTTCCAAACACAAGAACACGACGGCACGTGCAGACAGACGATAGGAAAAGTTTGGCAGAGGAAAAAAGTAAATCTTACCGTGCTTTAGGGCGAGGAGAGTGTGTTGCATGTGTTTGTGGCCATCACCGCAGCTTTATGAAGTGTTTAGAAGTGCGGACTGGAGCAGGCAGTCGGAGGGGATTCTCCCGCTGCTGCTCTCTCTCCTCTCCCTGCAGTGGGCGACTTTCGGAAACGACTGGGGGAAGAGAGTGATGGTGCGCATGGGCACACACGGCCGAGAGCTCAGATCAATAACTGTATTGCACTGAGTGATGCAGCCAATTCCGTCTGATGGAACAATCTTGTTTTGGTCCGAATGATGCGATCAAAAAAACAAAACTTATAGAACAAAAATAATGATCGGGTCAAAATTGCAAAATGTGTATGTATAAACTTAATCTTAACATTTTCCAAACATGTGTGTCCATTTGGCTACAGCGTTTGCAGTTTGCAGCTCTTGAGCGTTTGGTGCTCAGGGCTGAGGCAAAGTCGCTCTCCGTGGTGCTGATGCGCGTGGCTCGTGACTCCAGTGGGGGAGGAGGGGGAAGAGGGGGAGGAGGGGACTGTTCACTCAAGCTCAGACCAAGGAAACACTCTCTTCTTATATCCTATGAATCAACGAGGAGTACATCAAGCTATACGCCACATTATTTATTGTAATTATTGCATTACACATTACATTTTATTTAGTAATATTTGTACTGTTTTGCTGGCATTTTACTCCGTGCCTTTAGGGCCCACAGCTGGAAACAAGCAGTATAGCTTATGCAAGGCAAGGAAAGTTGTATAGCACATTTCATACACTAGGCAACTCAACGTGCTTAACAAAACAAGAAAAGAAAACAAGGCATTAAACTCATGAATAATCAGTGTATCAAAAAGAGAGACGATACATTCCTTCAGTTGTATGCACAGCTACTGAACAGTTTTCAACCTGGATTCGAACATTGTTAGAGGAGAAACCTATCTTTTATTTTCAGGAAGACTGTTCCAGATTTTAGTTGCATAAATCTGAAAACGTAATACTAGCACTTGCAGTAATGTTGATTAGTGTGTACTATATATACAGTCTACGGTACTATCCATTAACAAATAAAAGAAATAAACACATGTTCTTATTTCTGTCTTTGGTGCGATACTTGAGGTTACTATTTACTGCTGAGTACAGGCCTTGAACAGTGTAGCCTACTCCAATTGCAGTGAATATGGTGCATACTATAGCCCAAATATGACAGAGCATATAAGTGAGTTAAATAAATCAATACATACAAGTGCATTTATGTTTGCAGTTAAAGCTGTATATATTTTTCAGTGAAGTATGCAACAGGACATAATGTTTGCTCACAATATTCTTGTGGTCATACATCTGTGCAACATTTATAGGCTAATCAGCATCTTGTTATGTCAGACTGTGTGGTGAGTTTGAGATGTTGGATTATCTCGGTGAAGCTAGAGCAATTTGCAATAATTTATTGACATGTGTGTATTCTGCATCCATTTGATAGCTTTGAGTTGATGGTATGAAAAATGGGAATCAACAGTAACTTCTAACCTGAGTTTTCTATATTTTACTTACAACAGTAGATGGAAGCCATTTATAAAGTGAATATGCTTATAATGCAAAGTGTGTAATGCTGAGACAATAGCCATGAATTAAATCAAGATAGTAAAGTATAGTGAATGTATAAAGGAATGCCCAAAAAACTGAATGACAAAGAGAATCCTTGTATCCCGATTTGGACAATTCACTGAAGCATTGACCCAGGGCACGGGGCATTCTGCTTTTAATTCAGACTCGGAAGCCTAACCCCCCCTCTGGCAATAAGAAGCCATTTACTCCAGCAGAAGAGCCAAGAAGCACTTAACTTAATGTACGGGACAGCAGAACGACCCTCCATCTCATTCATGCAAAGGACTGCGCATGTGCCCAATCGCATTCACACACTATAAAAAATGTGAGTTTGGAATTATATGTATACAGGACATGCAGCTTTGACATTGGGTTTGGGCAATATAGTCTATATAGTCACAAAACTCAACATTGATCAGTATGAAATGGACTAGTAAATAGATGCAGTGTATCCGGAAAGTATTAACAGAGCTTCAATTTTTCCACATTGTGTTAAGTTACAGCCTTATTCCAAAATGGATTCAATTCATTTTTTTCCTCACAATTATACACACAACACCCCATAATGACAACATGAAAAAGTTTCTTTTGAGATTCTTGCAAATGTATTAAGAATAAAAAAACTAACAATAAGTATTCACAGCTTTTGCCATGAAGCTCAAAATTGAGCTCAGGTGCATCCTGTTTCCACGGATCATCCTTGAGATGCTTCTACTGCTTCATTGGAGTCCACCTGTGGTAAATTCAGTTGATTTGACTTGATTTGGAAAGGCACACACCTGTGTAAATAAGGTCCCAAAGTTGACAGTGCATGTCAGAGCACAAACCAAGCATGAAGTCAAAGGAATTGTCTGTAGACCTCCAAAACAGGATTGTCTCGAGCCACAAGTCTGGGGAAGGGTACAGAAAATGGAAGAAGTTTGGAACCACCTGGACTCTTACTTGAGCTGGCCGGCCATCTAAACTGAGCGAGCCTTAGTCAGGGAG